CCATTTAAACTGAAAAGCAGCCCCAGGGAGACCAGAGATTCAGCCTGAACCTGAGGAAATCTAGACTTGCTTTATTTAGGGCCTTAGCGCTGCAGATAGGGCTTGGCAGTAGGGAAAATAATGTGGTTCAGGGACTGTGAGACAGACTAGGTATGGTGCTGTGAAACCTAGAAACATAATTAGAACCGGAATTCGAAACCGCGATCACAGGTTACTGGCGTGACAAGGGACGCAACTCTGCAAGGCGAATTGCGGCGCACTTTATCAAAGGGCTACCCATGTCGCCAACAGCGTGTTGAGCACCAGTGATTTTGCGTCGACGTAATTTTGAAAACATTTCAGAAAATCATGGCACGCCAGCTTGATGACCAAAAATAAACCACGTGACCTACGGTGCGGGATCAGTGCGAATCTGGGATTCAAACGCCAGATCCTGAGTTCAAAGGAAGGGTCTTAGACTACTGAGTCACCCATTCTCCCGTTATGACGATAGCCATCGCTCATCTACCAGTATCAACAAACCCTGATAGGTACAGACTCGCACCCATCTTTGCACCGCCTCGACGGGTTTCAAGGGCGAGGCGGTGGGTCCGTAAAACGCATTGGTTCACTGCGTACAACGTTTCACAAATACGATAGGGAAACACCATGCAATGTATACAATGTTTTCGCTGTTCAACGATATGAAAAACATGTGCGATTTACAATATTTTTATAACTCGGATGACGGAAACAAACGTAGGGTTTGTGCTGACGACATACACGTACGCTGGTGGTGTGTAAAACATATCTTAACCACATGCACGAAAGGCATTTGCAATGGAGCTTATGTTTCAAGCCGGGCGGAAAGGCGAAAACTGGCAAAATTTTGGATGGAGCATTGAAAGGGCAAACTAAGAAACATGAATACACCGAACCAAATATACTGCGAAATTTGTTAGAAATTATGTAGAATGAGAGGAATGACCGGGGAGGGACTCTAAGGATTTATCAGTTAGCAGTAGAGTTGCCACCCTCAAGCGTGCCGGAATCCTATGACCGTGAATCCAAGATTCTCCCTGGTCTTGTTTCGAGGTTTGTCAGCGCGTCTGTTTGTGAACCCTGCGTCTTAGCGTTACAGTTGTCATAATTTAGTGTTTAAGTGTGGGAGTTGCTATCGTCTTAGTGCTAAGATAGCTTTGTAGAACAAGGCCCTCTACTGAAGTTATAGGCACATTTGTTCATGGGGCGGTGGGTAGCCAAGTGGGTTAAGCGTTCGCTCGTCACACCGAAGACCCCGGTTCGATTCCCAACATGGGTACACTGTGTGGAGCCCATTCTTTGTGTCCCAACATTGCTGGAATATTTCCAAAAGCGGCGTAAAACCTTTATAGTACTGATGTCACATATATTAACACTGTCACTTCTAGAACTGCGAATGAAGTGTAATTATGGCCCAGCGGACCACCCCGTGCTGCGGCATGCGCCGGTACTCGTACAAGCTGCAACAATATATACTTTTTTGATAGCGTTAACACATGGCAACTGATTGTTTTACCCGGAGACCGAAAATAGCTGGGGAAACAGAGAACTCCTGATGAAAATGACAACCACGTGACTGGACTTTTTTGAATGATTCATGAGCAACGCGCATTCTGTGAGTATGATTGTTTGGAACACATTTTGTGGCATTCACTGAGTGAATAGTTTTCCATTATATGATATTTTGCAAGAATTGAGACTTCTATGCTTCTTTGTGGGATTTCCATAGCAATAGAGTGACACATTTCGCATTTTTATGGTTTTAAAAAGAAAAACCCAACGTCGTACATGAGTTTTACCACTTTGGTGATATTAAAATAAAATGCTCGCGAACAAACGATCGGGACGTTTCTTTGTCATCGGATCCTGACCGGGAAAGGGACGCAACTGTACACTTTACACCACTTGGCTACCCATGTCTATAAACATAAGTTTAGTCCTATCCCTATTAAAAAAAATAATGTTCGAAAGTAAATACCAGGCCGAAATTTCGTCAATGTCCTCCTTGTGTTTTAAATACACCGGTTGATAGACTGTTATTCGCTACTGTAGAATTCATCAGTTCTACATATATCATAGTCTGTCTCACAGTCCCTGAACCATATTATTTTTCCTACAGCTTAGCCCTCCCTGCAATGCTAACGCCCTAAATGAAGCAAGTCTTGAATTCTCCCTGGGGCTCCTTTTCAATTAAATGGATATATTTGCTACAATCAAAATTATATGTATTCAGAGACTAAGTATTAGTCTACATATGTCATAGAAATAGTACAAGAATATCCCCGAGATCTTAGCATCAATCCAGCGTTACGTAACCAGTGATCAATAGCATGAGCAACGACCATGACGGTCAGGTCACGATGCTTACAAGCAATAAACAGGCGGAAGGTTGGTTTTCCGGCCGTCACATTCAATTACAGCCTATAGTCAGCTGTGAACGTGTGCCGCGAAACGACCACTCCAGCATTGATAACATTGTACCACGTCCGTGATTAGTCATATATATATTTTCTGTCAGCCCTGTATCACCCATTTCACTTCCTCGCTGATCACGTACATGCATATCCCACTCTTAATCATGGAGGATGGAGGATGCATCTTAGGTCACAGTCGAAGAAAACCGACTGCAGCGTTCAGAGTGCACACCGCCTAAGTGCGAAACTATGGAAGCCTGTTCCTGTAATCTACCGTGATCGCGGAATACTCTCCTTCACCAGTGGAACCAATTCGATTTTTGGTAAGAATATGGGAATCATTACCTGGAAAGGTGGATTTTCACCAGGGATAATAAACTTATTGTCAGAGTAAATACGACCTAGATAGCTTGTAGTGATGTAATTGGAACACCGTCCACTCACGTTTCACTCAATGACACAATACACCAAACCGACACGACCGCCCGTGTGTTAATCCTAACGCTGTTGGTATAAACACAATGTTTATTACACGTCTTCCGGGTTTAATTCAATTTTAAGAAAATATTACACGGTCTTATCTATTCAGCTAATTTTATTTCATCTAAGTGTGAAACATTTATCCTCTCGTTTCATTAATGATATATACGATCACTGAAAATCATAACAAAAAAATCAAATTAAAACTTCAAGTACGACCATTGAAAAGTGTAAGAAAGTAATCGAATTATTATTCAAAAGGTTACTACATCTATCCATGTGTCTGAACTGTCAGTCCCACATTTTCCACCCTTCGTGACAAAATGAACTCGCCCGATCCCAACCTGACACTCAGCACTTGCAATGTCCTTACTCACGAATCGAGAGGGAGTCGACAAACCAGAGGAAATGATTTCTCACTTATACTGTGTGATTGTGTTTAACGCCGCTAAGTGGCAACTAAGCTGTGTTAGGATGTGGTAACGTGATGTAAAACACAGCCTTCATTAGCACAGATTGTAGATGCTCGTTCAACCACGACAAAGGATTAATACTCGCAAACCAAGGACCAATATGGAATCGAACCACGTTAAGCGGATCCTGCAGCTAAGTAACAGAAAATAGACCCCAAATCCACCGTATTTCTACAATATTCCAACCCACTGATTTTTAAATTTATTTTCCTATTGAGTTTATGTGCTGTGCATAAATATATTTACTGATGTAATCTCCAGTGTTATGCTTCAACTCTCTATTTAACAGAGCAGTGCGTTGTGTTGTAGTGATTTACCAAGTATAAAACTACACAGGCAAACTTGCAGCCCGCTGACGTTAGTGCAATGCGTGCGTTCGTAATCAGCACTACATAAACGATCTACTGCAGTGGAGGTACACTTTGCCACACACGACTAAATCCACGTCGCTTGAAAAGCGCAATAGGCAAACACCAGTCCACCTACTATCTCATACTGTCTTTTATACGATTATCATTTCATTTCGATTATCTGAGTCTTAACACAAATGCTTTTAAACACACATTATAATTTACATTTTGGAAAACGAAACGAAAACGTATTCTGATTGTACATTTTTAAAACAAAAAATACCACCAACAATACACACACCAAACAAAAAAACCTACACATTTACGCGTCACACAAGCAAGTCTACATTTAAAACACCCAAACGTTCCATTATGCAAGCCACGGACATAATACGTTTCTATAATTCTAAATCTACAATATATCCCTGTTTCCAAAACCAGATTTTTTTCAGGGTAGTATAAATAACAAGCCCACATATCTTAATTTTAATCGAATTATACCAGCCTTGAATATGTCAACAATTTTAAAACAAAAAATTACGCTTGCTATAAAATTACGAATGTGTTAATTACCAAAACAACCCTAAATTGTGGATATAAACCACTTTCTCCAACCTGTTACCACAAACTTCAGACTGCACAGTTTCTTAACACGGGGCCTTGTTGCTGCCACTGTGTATTCTTATAGTCGGTGTAAGGGGATATCGCACTAGTATGTTGTGACGACAAATTCGTCACTAAACCCACAGAAAAACTAACGCCATGTATATGCCCCGTTTCGTTGGATTAGATTTTTGTGCAAACTTGTATTTTACTAGCGGCCAGGTAAAATGCTAAAAATGTTTACTATATCACGGTGATCAAGAATGGATAAATGTCCCCTATCCTTTTTAACCGTTTATGGGAGTTTAATTTGAAAAATATATTATTATAAATAAAATTTGACTTTATATTCGTTTTTTTTCTCTAAAAAATAAATATTTTTGTAAGTAACAAAAACGGTGAGAAAAATGTAAGCAAAGTATATAGATGAGTTTAATAAAATGTGTTAATATTAATTCATGCCTTCATTCTTGTCGTATACTGAAGTTCAGTTCCAACGCTAGTATTGACGGAAGAGTTCTCGTCTCGCATATTTGCCATAAAAGCAAAGTTAATAAAATTAAAATAAAATACTCAAGATCATAAATGTTTGAAATATTAAATAAACTTTGAAATGCAAAATACTGAGAACAAAATATATAATTTAAAAAGCAACTTACCAATGGCACTTGGAAACAATTGGACGAATGCCACTAGGGCAACAGCGAAAACTTTAAGAAAATCCATTTTTGACTCGGAGCTTTCGAACTACTATCTGAAGACTGCCACACCATTTTAGCTGAGTTTGGGGTACTTATAGTACGACCATATTTTGCACACGGCCTTCAGTCATCCAATTATCCTGAAGATCTTCAATGAGGATTCGTCCCGGTCACGTGACCTGTGTAATATCCCTCGGAGCAAACCTGTTCCATAGCGGCGAGGAAAGTACGGTAGCCGGACCGAGCGACAATTTTCACATGTTACGCAGAACGCAAGAATAGGAGTTTAACAATTACATAACGGCTATACAATTGTCATTAGGACCATTTACACTTCAATATCCGGCTACATAATGGAAAAACAATAGTTGCGTCATGTTACAGATGTATAATGCATGTACTTATAAGGAATTAGCAATCGTTTGCGAGATGACAAAGCCTTTTTTCCTTTCAATATTATGTTCGGGGATTAAATGAAAAGCAAGAACTTGTTCTTGTATTAAATGAATGAAATGATACCATCTTGCGGATTTTGATTTTGAATTTGTTTTTTATTTCACTCGCACTATCGTCTACGGTTTTAGTCAGTATGAATGAAAATATCTAAACAGGAATAATTTTTATGGATAGAAAACGTCTTAATTGCAATTTTAACTTCTTTATTGCCATAAAGAATTTGTCAATCCATAAAAATGCCCCTCTTCATCATACTAGCTTTTAATGACACTTAAAGAAATAGAAATAATTGAGTAGAAAAACAGATAGGACATGCGTAAATATTGTTATAAATCACAGAGTGATATTTATTAGATAAATTGTGTATCTGTTAGACTAACAACTAGTCTCTGAAATGAACATATTTTACTGAAAAAAAAGTTCATAGTAAAAAAAATATATATAGTGAAAAGGAGCCCTGAGACTTTCTTCATTTTCAGAAGCTGTGGAAATCTAGACTTGCCACATTATCTAGACTTGCGTGGGCTTTCTTGGATATATTTGCTTCAGGGTCTGTACGAGAGACTATGTATCTGTAAACCATCACACCTGATATTTCCACCATATTCATATTTCCCCACATGTGCTTGTATGTAAATATGAAATACCACAGTTATCATCATGTAAATCAGATGTCACTGTAAGGCGTGTGTGTACATATGTTTGACAAGCAAATCGTTTCTGTACAGTATATATATGTAAATATACACCAAATGTTTCGTGCCTGAAGCGCGTGGACTGTTAAACATTACCAACGAAGGTATTTCATTGCGGACTTTGAAACAATGGCCGGAATTAAATGTTTGCCCTTCGAACCGCGTGTCAGCTCGTGCAGGAAACTTGTTAATTGCAAGGATGTCGATATGACAGGTAGTCAATTTCAGGTCATTTCACTCATAGTTTGTAGCAAATTTACAGCTATCGCGGATGAGTGAGTGAGCGAGTGAGCGAGTGAGTGAGTGAGTGAGTGATATCACAGGTAGTCAATTTCAGCTCATTCCACTCATGGTTTCAGCAAAATTACAGCTTGCTCGAAACCACGTGAGTGAGTATTTTTTTTATCTTTACGTAAATAATCGAGTCTGAATCAGATAATCCGGTGATTGACACCGCCAGCATCAATCGGGATATGCAGAAATGCATCAACCAAGTCAACGAGCCCGACAACCGATCCCGTTAGTCCCCTCTTACGATCATTTGTTGAAAGATATTCATGACGTCTGTCACTGGCCCTGGTCTGTCTGGTTCAAACTCGATTATTTGCATTACACAGTTATTTTGCTGGGTTATTGACAACTACAAAGTTAAACGAACGAACAAACAAACACACACGCCTGCAGATGCAAATTTCTAGTTATGGGACTTTTAACACTCATGTGTTTAGTGACCTGTGAAGATCAGGATTAGAATTGGTCTCCAGTAACCCATGCTTGTCGTAAGAGGCGACTGACGGGATCGGGCGGTCAGACTCGCTGACACATGTCATCGTAGTCTGTCTCACAGTCCCTGAACCACATTAATTTCCCTACTGCCAAGCCCTCTCTGCAGTGCTAAAGCCCTAAATAAAGCAAGTCTAGATTTCCTCAGGTTCAGGTTCTGAATCTCTGGTCTCCCTTGGGCTCCTTTTCAATATAAATGGGCTTGTTTGTTACTATCAAAATTATATATATTCAGAGACTAAGCCTTAGTCTAATGTCATCGTATCCTGTTTGTGTAGATCGATGCTCATGCTGTGGATCACTGGATTGTCTAGTCCAGATTAGATTGTTGATAGACCGCTGCCATATAGATGGCATATTGATGCATGCGGCGCTAGACAACAACCGGACCCATCTATGCATGCGTTTAGTTATGAAACTTACAACCACAACATGTGATCACAACTGAGGGGCGCCACAGGTTTGCCACCCATTAAGCCGAGTTTCATGAAATTAATTATGCTTCAGTTCTAAATTGCTCGATGATTACGACTTTCAATAGCCAAATAAGCCAACACTTTGTTACAGAACGTGGCCTACCTTGATATTGGTGGTATGTTGCGAAAAGCGGCGTAAAACTAAACTCGCTCACACTACAGAACTTGGAAAACACATGGTTATATTTAATTTAGTTTATTTTGTTTTGTATTGTTGCGCTTCGGTGTATAAATTGTTTTTTGTGTATGTCTATGAATTTTTATCTTTTAAAATTGTTTTGACGGTGTTGTCTGTTGGTTCACTTGTACATGTTTTACTGGTGTTGTCGGGATGGGACAGGGAGTATTGGCGCAGCCCCGGTATATCGTGACGTTATATAGACAGTGACAGCCGCTTCAGGTTACAGTGTACGGTCACACAGACTAATTGTATGTGCAGGGTAAGTCAAATATAGTAAGTAGGCAGTGATTCGTTTGTCACTAAGTAAACATTAGATTGACCTACTTCTGTGAAAAATGTGGGAGCTGAACCTATGTGACGTCATGAACGAACCCTCTCCCTTTCTCGCATTTGCTTTCTCTCTGCCCCCTTCTCTCTACCTCTCTCCCCCCCCTCTCTGTGCCTCTCTCTTTCTCTGTCTCCCTCCCCTCCGCCTCTCTCCCCTCTCTTTCTGTGCCTCTCTCTTGTCTGTGCCTCTCTCTTTTCTGTGTCTCTCCCTCCTCTCTCCCTTCTGTGTGTCTCTCTTTGTGACTCTCTCCGTGCCCTCTCTGTCTCTCTCACCCTCTTCTCTTTCTCTGCATCCCTCTCTCTCCTTCTCTTTCTTTCTCCATCTCTCCTTCTCTCTGTGTATCTCCCTCCCTCTGTGTGTGTGTGTTTCTCTCTCTTTTCTCCCGCTATCTGAATTATAAAAAATCCCTTGAAACTGTTTCAACGCATTGTTTCTTTTTTTTTTTAATGTAAATTTTATTTCTGAATCCCTGTTACAGTTGCTTTCAGAACCGTGTCTACCCCTCCTCTCCCCATCTTCTACCTCTCCGATGTGCACATCGCAATTGGATACACCCATGTATGTTTCACGTCTTTCTATTTTCGTTTGAACAACACCCTCTGAACACCAACAACACACGCACACACTCTTGCTTGTATGTTTCTATATCTTGATCGCCACATACAGCTCTATTTCACCTTACAGAGGTATCAATCTGTGTTTGGGTTAGCTTCAGCTGCGTTCACGCCTGTCGCGTCAATATCGTGGCCTTATCATGTACATCTCTCTCGTATATCACCCTTCCTTTGTGTGCATGCAGAATGAACCCAGTTCTCCTTTCACAAAATACTACACACTACTCTACACTACTCAAATCTTCATAGGATAGTTACACATTTCATGCTCTTAAAAGTTTGTGCTGAAAGGCCAAAAATATCATTGAATATGAATAATATTTATAGGAAGCATATTTAGTTGTTTGTTTCTCTGGAGATTATATGTTTACTTGTCCTATTATCATTGCTTTCATCCTGATTTATTTTAAGATATAGATGCAACCAAATAGCATTAACGTTTTACACTCCGAAGGTATATTCCCAAATTCTACTACTACTACCACTACTACTACTACTACTACTACTACTACTACTACTACTACTACTACTATTACAACTACTACCATTATTATTATTATTACTAGTACTATTACTAAGCCTACGACTACTTTCACTACTACTACTACTAGTGTTGGGAATTGGTTGAAATTTAATTGATGATTGGTTCATTACAACCGATCAATCATCGAAAATAATTGGTTAGCGTCATTTATTAAACGTCCCTGTTATTTTTGTTAATGCACACACAAAAATAAAGAAAAAACATGTAGTATATTTGGTTTTTTGCAAATTGCTTAAAGTCCATTTGCAAATTTTGCATATTTAAATGATGATTAGTATGTTAGGAACACATATTTCCTGGATTCTTTAATATAAATTCAATCATGACTTGGAACGAGCTTGTAGTGCTTATGAAATGTAAATTTAATGACACAGACAATACCAGCCTTGTGAAAAATATTGTTAATGCAAACAAGTGTTCCAAGATTGGTCGTGTTCGATTACGAGAAAACATGTTCGATTGCTTGGTCGCTTAGTCACTGCGACCAATCTTCGATTATTTCAATTAATCGGACCACCACTAACTACTACTACTACTACTACTACTACTACTACTACTACTACTACTACTACTACTACTACTACTACTACTACTACTACACTACCACTACCATTATCACTACTGTCACTACTACTACGATTCGATTATTGATAGACCGCCGCCATATAGCTGGAAGATTGCAGAGTGCGGCGTAAAACTAAACTCACTCACTACTACTGCTGCTGCTAGTAATGATAATATTTCTTCCACCCAACCTCTCTCTGCTGCCTTTTATCTTAATCTGTAAACATAATAATTCTTCCAACAACCACGATCTGACACAGGTAAAATAACTTTCACTTTGAGTATTTTTGTTGGTTGCTAACCACTGTTTTTTTTGCCCACTCTGTTGACTTGTGAAGTGGTAGCTTGCAGCTATTATGAGCACCCCGCGGAGGGGATAAGAGGTGGCATTACATAATTTTGTTGTTAGGGGTCCAGTGGGTGATATGCTGCCCCGGCG